TTACCCAATTTTATTCATGAACTAAACTTACTAATAGAAGAATTGCTAGAAATTCCCGAAATACAATTTTAGAGTAAAGTGATACAAATAGAAAAAAAACATTTAGAAATAGCTCTACAAATACTTCATAAATACCCTTACACTTTTTACGCTTACGGTTCGCGGGTAAAAGGGACCGCACACAAGTTTTCTGATTTAGATTTATGTTATAAGGAGAATATTCCTATTTCAATTACTAGAAAAATCAAGGAGGAATTTCAAGAATCAAATCTTCCTTTTCGTGTGGAAATAGTTAACTGATATCGTATGAGTTCAGAATTCCAAGACTTAATTAAAAAAGACTTAACACCTATAACTTAGCTCTTACTGTTGCAATTTCATCAGAAACTGTATTTAGTTGTCCAACAACTTTGTTTAGTTCTTTGTAAGTAAAATCTCTCCGTTCATTAACTGATTCTAATTGGTTAATAATATCTTGCTTGTCTCGCCTTCCCCATAGTTGAGGAATAAATATCGTTAAGGTCAAAAATATTTTTTCCTATCTTGTAATACCGTAATACCAAGTAATATAAAATTAATTTATGGAAAGAAAAGGAAATATTTATTCACCACCTAAGCAAGTTTTAAGTATTAAGATTGACCCGCATCTTTATCAACAGTTAAAAACTGATATTGGCAAGGGGCGTATTAGTCGCTTTGTCGAAGGATTAATCGCTCAGGAACTAAACTCCCAAGACCAAAAACTAGCCCAAGAATACCAAGCAGCCGCCCAAGATAAAAAACGCTGAAAAGAAGCAAAAGAATGAGAACAAGCCCAAATGGTCGACTGAAATAACCAAGATGACGGAGAAAATAATTAAACGCGGTGATATTTATAAGGTTGTCCTTGACCCGACTATTGGCAGAGAAATTAAAAAAACTCGTCGCTGTGTGGTTATCTCTAATAATCAACAAAATCTTTATAGTCCTCTAATAATTGTTATTCCTATCACTTCGGATATGGATAAACTTTACTCTTGGGAAGTAGTTATTCAGTCAGAGGGCAAAGAAAGGAAAATTCTCACCGACCAAATAAGAAGCGTAGATAAAGAAAGAATAAGGGAATACAAGGGTAAAGTTGGTTATGAAACTTTAATTAAACTAGAAAAGGCTTTGAGTGTGGTTTTAGCATTGAGGAGGGAACTCCAAGAGTTATATGATTTAACCCAAATTCCTACTAAGGTTTTAAGGGAGGAGTTGAGTAGGAGAGAAAAGGAGAAAGGAAGTTAATCACTGAAAAAGATTTCTTGATTGGAATTGAAGTTGAATTATGAAGATTGCCACTTCCCCAGCCTCGGGAGTTTCCACAAGGTTATAAACTCAAACTAATCGCTTACAATTTGGAAAATTCTTCCGAATTAGTGCGAATTGATAATCATCATGGTAAAGCTCCGCATTATCATATAAACGGCAAGCAAAAGTTTTTTACTTGGATTTCCTTGGCAGAAACAGAAAGGTTGTTTTTACAACTTACCCAAGAAAAGTTTGGTTATTTCGAATGAAATATAAATATTAAAAACCATATAAATTTATTTTTAAATACGAACCACAGTCATCAGTAAAAGAAATCTTTACTCATTTGGAGGAAACTATTAAGACTGATAAGAAATATATTCAGTCGAAAAACATTTCCATCACTAACGATTTAGCGGTTATTAATCGGATATTAAGTAAAACTCGGTTAGAACTTTTTTCAGTGTTGCGAACTAAACAGCCGAATAATATTTAAGAGTTAAGTCAGTTATTACAAAGGGATTATGCTAATGTCTGGCAGGATTGCCAAGTCTTAGCCAATTGCCGAATTATTAAACTAAAAAAAGAAAAACAAGAAATAAAACTAGTGGCTTTATACGACCAGATTGTAATTGATTTTCCAGTTTTGATTAGCAAAGGGCAAAATGTAGGGATTTCTCAAACTTTATAATCTCACACTTCAATTATCTAACACATAGACGGAAATACTATATTTACATAGTAAATATAAACCAAACAAAAGCCCCCTATATAATTCTCCTCAACCGATAATTATAAAGCATTTGTCTCTTAACTCCCTTAATCTCTAATCCTTTCAACGCCTTTTTATTTTTCCGCAAGCAACTATTACAAATAATCCTTTTATCTATCTCTTTCTCCGTCCAAAAACTAACTTTATTTCTTGATAAAGGCTCCTTATCTTTTTTTTTGCCTCTGATTTCATTAGGACAAAAAGAACATTTAGCTCAATAACTCTCTCCATCATATTTATATTGCTTTTTAAGGGAAATTTGAGTCTGAATTTCCTCTCTTTCTTGCCAGTCTTGGCAGTATCTTTTATACTTTTCTCTTAAATCTCAGTCGGATAATGGTTGAATGTAATCACCAATCGCACAGTTTAAGCATCTTTCCCCACTATATTTATGTTGATGCTCTTTCTGCTTCAAATAGCACGAGCAATTAAGTTTAAAGGTCTGAATAACTTTCTCGCAAGAACGGCAAACTAGTTTTATCCATAGTTTACCACCCTTAAATAATGGCTTAACTAGTCCTTGAATAGTAGAGTGGTAATTATGAATAGAGTGGCTTTCGGAATAACCTGCCAAGGAGAATTCACAAACACAGTCTCTATCTTTCAGGTGCTTTTTAACTAAGTCTTGACAAGTAGCACAAAAACAAGAACCTGTATCATAAAAGCCCGCACAAACTTTCGCTTCGGAATAATAAATAAAATGCGAGCATCCCGCACAACTAAAACCTATCTTTCTTCCCTGATGGCAAACATAGCAATTTACAGGAGCAGGAACACCAATTAAACAATGTTTACAATGCTTCTTTTTTCAGTGTTCTAACCATAATTCATAAGTTAACTTTATCTCTCTTTTAGGATTAATAAGGTTTAAGTCATTCATAAGCATTATATATATGTTTTATGCTCTTTCCGTCTATGTGTTAGATTTTAAAAAAGTAGCAAAAAAAATTTTCCAATTTAGAGCCTTTTCTATGGCTTTTTGGGAGGATTTGGGAGTATTTTTGTTGCCTTTGAGTGCTTTTTTTTTAATTAAATGACTTTGGTGAGATT